GTCGACACAACCTAAACGAGAATTGAAGGTCTCGTCATTAGTAGTACAACGGTAAAAAGTCTGACGAAAGTGGATGTCGGATGAAGAAGTTATGAATTTTTAACGGATTTACCAGTCCCGGTATGTTAAAAAAATAATAATATAAACATAAATTCAAAATTTTCCAACGAAGTCTAAACAAAAGTTGTATAGCATAATTTTTCCTATGCGTGCATATAAAGAACGTCAAAAATGGAGCTCGTATGAGAAAGTTATGGATTTTACAAGATTTGACACATATTTTGAGAAATTTCGCATGAATAGTGCTGCCACGTCATCCCTCGCATACAGCCTCCACGTGTCACCTTCTGATAGGACCGAGGTTTGCTATGTCGCCTTCTGATTGGACCAAGTCCGAGGTCCACTAAGCTTCGGACACCTTCGCATGAGACACCTCTCGGATGACCCTCGCACCTACGTGGAGCCTGCCCATTGGATCAAAGTTGGGTCCAATCCGAAGCTGCCATCTGCGAGCCTTCTGTTCCGACCCGCGTCATCCGACCAATGCGAAGTGAGCACCTGTTCAACTGAAGTTGTATATCTTCTGTTCCATTAAGGTCAAGGCTTTATTGGTGTATATCAAGTATGGAAATTGTTATGTCTCATTGATTGTATATCTTTAAATCAAATCAATGATTGATATGGAAAGTTTGTCACATGATTCACATATGCCCTTGTTGTTCCTTGTTCCTCTGTACTTCTGCCATATTGAAGTATATATATATATATATATATATATATATATATATATATATATATATATATATATATATATATGACATAACGTTATATTGTATCTATTATTGAACTCACTAATCGTCACCGCTTACCCTCTCAATGTTTAACAAATTACAGGAGATCAACATCCAATATAGTTATATACTGGTAGATGATTTTTGAATAGTTTGAAACTATTGTATCGATAGAAGCTTATGAATAGTTTGAAACTATTGTGTTTTGCACTTCCATATGTATAAAACTATAGAATCCTGGGAAGTTATGTAATATATAACACTTTAAAATAGTCGGTTTGTATCCAGTAGTTTGTAATCTCTTTATCAATGTAAAATATTGTTTTTATGAATATGCAAGTGGCATGTTTTGGAGTAACTATATTGTCAAGTATGAAAGTTTGGGTCTTCATAAATACGAAAGTGAGGGTCCTTCACCATTTGTTTCTATTTTGAAGAAAAGGGACATTGGAAGCGAATATGCCCTGACTACCTGAGAGATCGAAGAGATGGTAGAATCAAATTGTATGAACAGTAACTAAATGTTTTATTAAATTCCTAATCTGAGTTACTTTAGGAAAAATGTGAATAAGGCGCTAATCCATGAAATTACACTTTACACTTTGTTTAAGTCGTTGGTGGAACGTGTGTGGTTAACCGGCACACTAACTTAGACATAACAAGGTAAGTAAAGGGTGACATAAGGTTTATCATAGTATCGGTGGAGCGTGTGTGGTTAAACGGCACATCGATTAAGTGATGACACTACTAGAAAAAAGCCCTTTAATGACGCGCAAACAATGACACGCGCTGATAGAGGATACGCATTTGTTCGTGCCCTAAAAAATAATGTCAGTTTTGCAAAATATGAAGGATAGAGGGCACCGTATTTGTGCGTGCCCTAAAATTAGTGTCAGAAAAGAAAACAAAAAAAAAAAGCGGAGGGCACCTTTCATAAAACGTGTGTCATCTAAGAGTGTCGCTTTATAATTTTTTAATGAAACACGCGTTTTAAGCGGGATTTCACCCGCCTATACTGGATCCCAAAAATTTAAACCCCCCCTCTTCCGATTAGCAAGAAAAATCCCTAGGGCGTTGGTCTTCATAGCAGCATTGCACCACCACCCAACCTCCGATCTCGCACCGCCAACCTTTAATAGCTAAGTGGGAAACGAAATCCCCAAAAATTAGAAAACCCCGCCCTGTTCTCATCTTCCTTCGTTTCTACTTTTCTCTTTTCCATGGTTTGGCCTAATGATGTTCTGTGAATTCCATGAGTTATCACTGTGAAAATATGGAAGAAAGGATCTATGGGACAAATGGGGAGCTAGGGTTTCCGATTACAGTGTTTTTGTTGTATGAAAGCATTGTCGCTCAAGTTAAAACACGCGAGAAAGAAGGCATCACTGATCTACCAGACCGATCACTTTCTTTCTTCTCCCTGAACAACAACAAGTATGTTTTGTATACTCTCAGTGCTCGCTGGCCTCTCCAAAAATCGACTATGTCACTCACCTCGCCTCGTCTTTCCGGCAACCTCTTTGGTCGCTTCTCCTACAATACCTTATCTTGTGACTACTTTAGTTTCTTTTTATCCTGTAAAGAATTGCTTCACATCGCTATCAAGAACCACACTTATTTCTTATCCAACTCCTTTCAATCCATATAAAATTGAAGAAAACTTATCTTCTAGTCTTCTATCCATTTCTTCAACAAGAAGACAACCAAGAAAAACTGAAAGGTGCGTTTTAATTAAGACCCATATGCATTTGTCTTGTCAAATTCATCTGTTTCTTTGTTAATTTTTGTTTAGTTTTCCAATTTGGGGGTAATTTAGGTTGTTATTTTTAAGTACTGTGTTTCGATTTAAGCCTCACTCATTTTTTATCAAAGTAATTTGGTGGTGATTCACCGGTGTTGAAACAACGAACATTATTGGGACCTAATTATGTACTCAATCTGGAAATGAGAGATATGAGGTCTTTAACACTTTCTTTATTTCCATTTATATTTGGAATTTGATGCATCGACATATTGAAATTGTATGGAACCAATTATTGGGGTAACATAATGCCCACCAACTGTTTGATGAAATGTTTGGTTCTTCTGACAGTGAAAGAAGTCATATTTGTTTGGTTTTTGTCATTTTCTCTTTGTTACTTATGTTCTTATTAGGGATTTTGAAGTTCTGGTTGTTCTTCATCATACATGTGTTCCTCTTTGGGCAGGTTTATATGGAGAAAACATTGCACTAAGTTCAGTTGATGGAAAGAAAAATAAGATGGATAGTAGTTTCTAATGATTACCACATCATGAGGAGGTTAGGTTTCTTTTCCAATTTTCTTCTGTCACTAACTACTGTATATCCCTTCCTGTTTTGTTTTTCTTTCTGCAATAAAGCAACAACTTCCTCTATTTTATTATTTGTTGTTTACAACTTTGTCTTCTATATTTTTTTTATGTTTCAGGGAATTTGGCACAAATAGTTTTAATGATTTGTTGGTCTACTGCATATAGTTTAAATATAAGTGGCCTAAAGAGAATCATAATATGTAATTGATATTACAAGAGGAAGAATAAAAAAAGGAAGATGAGCAAGCCAAGAAGAAGAACCTATTGGAAATGAGGAAGATATGACATCATTATAAGAGGAGATGATTAATATAACATCCTCAAAGGCATAAGAAGAAGCAAGAACATGTGCATCAGAAACAAGAGCATCTCTGTAAAGTCAGTGAGCTTTGGTTGTATTAGTTTATAAATCTGTAAGGATAAACTAGAAACAATTTGATTAATTTGTGCATTTTTTTTTTTGTTTTTCTTACTTTTCTGTTGTTAATTTGTGCAGTGTTTGACAGTTTGAGTAGGGAGAGAGAAGAGTTTTTGATGCTTGTCAACAATGAGCTATATATATATATATATATATATATATATATATATATATATATATATATATATATGCCTGTACTTGTGTATAATACAATGTTTTGATGAAGTTGCATTTACATGTAATCATTTTTATGTGGCACAGGGGAAGAATGCAGATTTGACTAAGAAATACACCTGCTAGATGGGAAGATTTTGATGCAGAAATGACATCAACTTGGGAAGTAAGTATGGGTTTTTAAGATATCATAAATATAATCACATTGTATAACAGAGTAAAACAAAGCATTTAATGGACAGGCATTAAATGAATTTGGTACCCTTGAAAATGTAAGTGAAGCAATCTTAATGATGACTTATTACTATGATTTCAATTACTTAATGGTTTTTAGTTTTCTTGAATAGTATAAGAAAGTATATAATAATGTGATTTGCTACACTTAGCTCATATTCCACCTAAAATAGATAAAATCTCCTTTTCTCATACAAATACTACATTTTTATCCCTACTTGTACTTTACAACCTCACTCCCTCTGATATGTCAAATGTTATCGATTTAGTCTACAAATCAAACAGCTGAATTAAATCCTTTACTTTTGACATAATGGCATACCACAATGTTTAATTGAAGTTTTCACAACGTTTTAGGTGATTATTTTTCAAAACTAATGAAATTGAGGCGAAATTGATCCAAGATATGCACAAGTGTTGGTAGTTAAGTTTATTCTGTAGCTTTTTTTGTTGTGGTTTTCAGTGCATACAAGTTAGTTTATTAGGATGAACATATGTGAAGTTTTTAATGATACTTGTTTTTTATTCAGGAAATAAGTTATACAATTTTTTTTCTTTTTGTTGTAACTTTTTTTTAGTCTAGACTAGTTACTTGTACACCAGATGTTAACCTGTTACATTGTAGTAGTAATAACCCACATGACAGGAAAATAACACTTAAAAAGTGGGAAAAATTAACCATGGATTGAAAGTGAAAAATGTGAGGTTCTTATAAAGCAATAATTCTTAGATAAGCTATATTAACGACTTAAGTTGTGGTTATAAGTTATTCCCAAGAGTACAATGTTTCTTTTCTGTTTGTTAAACCTCCTTTTTAAAATTTAAGATGTGGGCATAATAAATATTATCATTGTAAAGAGCACAACTCTTGAAAATGTGCAAGTAATTGTAAGCTATTTACTTAAGATAAAAAATGATTTTTATTTATTTATAATATCCATAAAATATTAGGCTCACAGTCATTTTTCATACAATGAATTATTTGAGACACTTCCTTCTTGGAACAAGAAGTCAACTATACAACTAGACATGTGGGTCAACAACATAACTCCATGCCAGCATCAGTGATTTCAAGCAGAAACATTCTCCTTGGTGTTCTTGCAACTGCTTCACATGTGGTTTCTACACAAACCAAATTTGTTGTTTACTACAAACCAAGGTTTTTTCTTTTATTATTATTTTTTTTTACTTTTCTCAATTCCATAAAAGTGATATTTGTTGTATTAAATATTTTTACAGGATAACTCAGTTTACATAGGCTTGAACAAGTATACTGAATCTGTGAACAATAAATTTAATATGCGGTTTGACTATGAAGACTCTCCAGAAAGAAGGTAAACATAATATTTATAAGCAACTAATACAAAAATATATTTTTCCATGAAAAGTTTCTTCATATTTATTAGGTTTACGGGCATGATTACTAGAGTAGAAGACTCTCTCATCAATGGGAATGCTCTCAGAAAGCCTGTTGATAGTCACAAACTGAGAAAGTTTGATGCCCTGACCGTTGAGACATTTGGAGCACACATAGCGAAGCTTATTCGGTGATAACATTTTTATAATAAACATGTTTTTTATGAGGTGTGTGTTTGTTAAATCATAAATCATAAATGTTAATTATTAGTTGTTACAAGCAGGGAGAAGTATTTGCAGATTTGTGAGATGGTTGATGATGAAAAAGTTTACATCGCAAGCATGGTTATCGATGAAGATGCTCCATTGGAGGATGATGTGGTACGGAGCTTGAGAACCAGCCCTATACATTCCGGAAATAAGGACCGCACTTCCATTGATGACTTTGAGATTATAAAACCGATTAGTCGTGAGGATGCAATTGTATTATAACATTTACTCACTTTTGGAATAATTATTTGTATTTGACATATTAGTGAAATGAATTATCTTTGTTCATTATGGTATTTTATTTTGTATTATGATATTTTTAATGTATTATTTAATTTGAAAATTAGTAAATCTATAAATAATATTTTTTTAAAACATTTATAATTATGATACGCAAAAATGTGTGTCATATTCATTTATGACATGTCCTTTCTTGACAAGGGCTTTCTTGATACGCATTGCGTGGCATTAACACGCGTGTCGTAAGGTTACGACACACGAATGCGTGTCGTCTTCCTTTATGACATGGCCTTCCTTGATACGCAATGCGTGTCGTAAACGCGCGTCGTAATTGCGCGTCATAAATGAGTGTCGTAAATGCGCGTCGTCTATAGACGACGCGCAAAAGCGCGTCATCTCTCTTTATGACAGAGCCTTCCTTGACGCGCATTTGCGCGTCGTCTGAGCCTTTTACGACGCGCAATGAGCGTCGTAAAAGGCTGTTTTTCTAGTAGTGTGAACTTTAAGGGTACCAAGTAATTTGCAAGGTTACTTCACACCTCATTTTGTGATCCTCGGTATCCCAGTCACAAAACTTGGAGGGCACACTTGAGATTGAAACATGCCTTTGAAAAGTTCATTGAATCTTAAAAGAATCTAGGAATTTCTAAAACCAATTAAAACCTAATAATATATATTTCTTTTTTTTTTGGTGGAAATTTGTGAATCGTCATTCACCTACCTTTCAAATATGTCATAGCTTAGATTACACATACCTCTTCTAAGTTATGATATATTGTGATTAGATCCTAGCCTTAATATTACATTTGGGTGTTTTATTAAGGACTATCTTTCTATCTAAACTAAACTTGTTCTCTTCTTTTTCAGATGTCTTCCAACAACACTGCTTCTGGCTCAAATCCTACTGGGTCCTTTTCCTTCATGGACCTATGTGGGAGGGTCACCTTTGATGGTTCCAACTTTATGGATTGGATCCGGAACATCAGGGTGGTCACACACTATGAGGACAAGGAATATGTTCTCAATAAGGAGCTAAAGGATATTGATGAGTCAACTGCTACTCCTGAGGAGATCGTTGAATTCCAGACTCATGAGAGAGATGCCACGAAAGTGGCTTGTATCATGATGGCAACGATGACAGTCGAGCTCCAAAAGTCCTATCAGGATTACTACCCTTTTGAAATGCACCAACATTTGATGGAATAGTACCATCAAAGTGCTCGTCAAGAGAGGTATGACATCATCTGATCAATGATAACAACCCGTATAAAGGATGGTGAACCCCATCACGGGCCGCATGCAGAAAATGCAAAGGTATGTGAACAATTTGCTGAAGCTTAATGTGAACTTCCTAGATAATCTTGGAATAGATATCATTTTGCAATCCTTACCCTCGTGTTATGATCAATTCCGCATGACATACCACATGAATAAGGAAGAAGTCACACTCAGCAAACTTCAAGGACTCTTAAAGACCGCCGAAAGTGGTGTAAAGAGTAAGTCGGTTGTTAATACTCCTACTCCTACTCCAAACACCGCCCCTATCTTGGCAATCGGGAAAGGTAGAGGGAAGAAGAGGAATAACCCTTCGAGGGGTACCAAGGGTAAGACCCTTGATGGCTCCTCTTCAAGTGGAACCAAGAAAGGTTTTGTCACTCCTTCTTCTGACCCAAAAGAGGTTGAATGCTTCTATTGCCATGAGAGGTCTCATTGGAAGCAGAACTGCCCCAAGTACCAACAAGATGTGAAGGATGGGAAAGTCAAACCCAACCATGCAGGTATTTACACTATTCTTTCTAGTAACTCACCCTATTCTAACTCTTGGGTCCTTGATACTGGTTGTGGTATTCATTATGTTCTGATTTTCAGGGACTAATAAGAAGTGAGAATGTGGAGCATGGAAAGATAAACTTGATCATGGGGAATAGGAAAGCTTCACCTGTCCCCAAGATTGGAGTTTATTCATTGTTTATAAGTAGTGGGTTTACTTTAGATTTGAATTAATGTTGTTATTCTCCAGAAATGGCAATAAATATGATTTCCTTTCATTCTTTGTACAAACAAGGGTTTACCTTTTCTTTTGATAATGAAAATGGTGGAATAAATGCTTTCTTTAATAATGTTCTTTATTTTAAAGCATTACCTTGTTATGGTGTGTATGAAGTTGTATCTGTTGTAGATAATCTACGAAATAATGTGTTGTGTATTGATTCTTCGAGTAATAATAACTTGGATAAAGCATTATTATGTCATTGTCATCTTGGACATGTGAGCAAGAAACACATAGGCCAACTCCAAAAGGATGGAGTCTTGGAGTCATTTGACCTAAAGTCACATGATAGTTGTGAATCATGCATACTTGGAAAAAATGACAAAGTCACCCTTCACTGGTTCTTGTGAAAGGGGGTGAAGGTTTGTTGGATCTTGTACGCACGGATGTGTGTAGACCCTTCAAAACTGCCACAAGAGATGATAATCATTATTATTTGACTTTTATTGATGATTATAGTAGATATGGATATATATACTTAATCAAACATAAATTAGATACTTTCAAGAGGTTTAAAGAGTTTAAACATGAAGTCGAGAATTAATTGGGCAGGAACACTAAGATGCTTCGATCCGTTCATGGTGGTGAGTATCTTAGCACAGAGTTTCTCGACTATCTTAACGAATGTGGTATTATCTCACCTTTGAGACCTCCCAGGACACCGCAATTGAATGGTGTGGCTGAGAGGCATAATCGAACCTTGTTGGATATGGTTCGTTCCTTGATGAGTTGAGCTTTGCTACCAATCTCATTTTGGGGGTATGCCTTAGAGACTGCCACCCATATCCTTAATCTGGTCCCTACAAAGAAAGTTGCTAAAACTCCTCATGAGATGAGGACTGGTAAAGTTCCTAAACTAGAACACATAGAGATTTAGGGTTGCAAGGCTTTCATGAGACGCGAGACTCATGATAAGCTAAAACCTCAAAGTGAGAGGTGTATTTTCATTGGCTACCCACAACAATCCTTTGGTTACCTCTTCTCCATACCTAGTGATAATGTGGTATTTGTAGCAAGGAGGGGTGTCTTGAGAGAGAGAGAGAGAGAGAGAGAGAGAGTTCATAAGCCAAGCAAACAATGGGGGTATGCCTAAGAGACTGCTGCCCATATCCTTAATACGGTCACTACAAAGTTCCCTAGGAACAAGGCTAGACATGAGCACAATCTACCATCCTAAGACCGACGGACAATGTGAGAGAACCATCCAATCACTGGAAGACATGTTGAGAGCATGTGTGATCGAATTTGGGAAGGCATGGGATATTCACTTACCCCTTGTCGAGTTTTCCTACAATAACAGTTATCACACGAGCATCAAAGTTGCTCCATTTGAAGCCCTCTATTGCTGAAAGTGCAGATCCCCTCTGTGCTGGGCTGAAGTGGGTGACACCCAGTTAGCTAGAGGAAAAGTTCCCGATAGTACTCGCACAAGTCCGGAAATCATTCGGGAAATGACGGAGAATATCGTTCAGATTTGTGAACCATTGAAAGCCTCTAGAGACCGACAGAAAAGCTACGCAGACGAACAATGAAAACCTTTCGAATTCCAGGTGGGAGACAGCTTTCTTTTGAAAGTCTCACCCTGGAAGGGCTTGAGATGCTTTGTGCCTTACAAACTCAATGTACCCAACAAACTCAGACACGTACATTCTACATTCCATGTCTCGAACTTGAAAAAGTGTTTGTCCGATGATACTATTGTAATCCCACTTGATGAGATCGAGATCAACGAGAGCCTCAACTTCATGGAAGAACCTGTAGAGATCATGGACCGGGAGGTTAAACAGATGAAACAAAGCCGTATCCCGATTGTGAAGGTTCGCTGGAACGCCAAGCGAGGACCCGAATTCACATGGGAGCGCGAGGATCAAATGAATTTGAAATATCCTCATCTATTCGCTTAGTTATTTGTAACAACTTTATATGCTTAAACTCTAATTTCGGGATGAAATTCCCTTTAATGGGGGGATGATGTGACAACCCCAAATTTTCATTCATACAAACTCTATGGCAAGCACTTTAATTAAAAGTCAAATACATTTCTAATTATTGTTAGCCAGTTTAAAGTTCATTTTGGGTGTTTTTAGTACTTATTCTTGAAATGAACGAATGAAAGGAAGTACTTTCTTGGGTCTTGGAGTAGCAAACCCATGCTTAGCACTCTAATAAGGAGTTCACGGCCAACCTTTTGGAGTTTGGGCCGTAAACTCCTACATTTCTCAACTTCCACTCTCAAGAACACTCACTATTCTCTCTCAAGTAGCATCCCGTTCTTCACCCGATCTCCCAAAAACGTAGGTGTTTCTTGACTTGATTTGTTCTTATAACCTAACATCTAGTTGTTATACATCATTTCATCCATTCATTATTGATTTTCACTTAGATCTTCAAGTGTTCTTCAAAACACCAAGAACACCAAGAACATACATTAGTGTTGTAGGACCTTAAACACCCTATCAAGCTTCTATCTTGTAAGTACACTTTCTATAGCTTCTTGTGTGCTTAATATGAACTTTTTTACACTTAGAAAACACCATGAAACCTAAGATCACATGAGCTTACGGCCAACAGATGTTCTTGGGCAGTAAACCCTTCTAAGTGGGGTTAAATGAACCCTAGTCCCTTCCTAATCCTTGGATGCTAGTCTTGATCCTTCCTAGAAGTGTGTAAGACCTTAGACAACAAAGAAACAATGTCCCCATAAGAGTTTACGTCCGTAAACACATAAAGAAATGGTCTTTAGGCCGTAAACACTACAAAGTGGTGATATTGTGCCCCTATTGCTTCCTGAGGCTTGGACTTGATCAATGGATGCTCAATATTGACTTATAAGACCTCAAAACACCAAATGGAACTTAGTACCATGATTTTATGGCCATAAACTCATGCGGAAATAACCATGGGCGTTAAACTCCTTAAGGAGTGGTTCTTG